GGGAAAACCGCAGGTTATACACAGGTGCGAGTAATATTCGTGCGCGGGTTATATGTGCTAATTTACAGTAAGCCATAGAAATATTGGCATACCGTGGGACCATACAGATACTGTGGGGCCAGCAGTGCTGCTGATTTGAAGGTATAAATTGTCTCCAAATCTGAAATGGTTGCAGATGAGAACAAAGTCACAGAACTCAGCCATCAGGTGTGCCATGCCATCATCTGGGGTATAGTTTCTCACAGCTTGTAGTCCATTCTCATGTGGAATATTGTTGTAGAGAGCTTCTACATCCAGGGTGACTAGGATGGTGTTTTCAGGAAGATCACTGATGAACTATAGTTTCCTCAAGAAGTCAATGGTGTCTTGAAGATAGCTAGGAGTGCTGGTAATGTAGGGTCTGAGGAGAGAGAGTCAGGTTATACCTGGATAATCCTGCAGTGAGAGTGCCAATGCCTGAGATGATGGGGCATTCAGGATTTCCAGGTTTATGGATCTTAGGTAGGGATAGAGTCAGGGCTCGAGGGATGTGTCTGTGTAGATTTGGTGCCATGCTATTGCAGGGAGTTTCTTGAGCAAATGGTGTCATTTCTTTTGGAACTCTTCAATGGGATCAAAGGATAGAATATAATGTTGGAGGGTTGCCTGACAGCCTCCCATTCGTAATCTGACCTATTCATGATGACTGCAGCATCCCCTTCTTCAGCCTCTTTGATTGTAATGTTGGAGTTATTTCTGAGACATTGCGTTCCATGTGGCTGAGGTGATGGGGCATGTGACGTTGTTTGTTCACAATTTCAGCCTGTGCATGTCTGTGGAAGCACTCTATGTAGAAGTCCAGACTATCTTTTTGACCATTGGGAAGAGTCCATGCAGAATTCTTCTTCTTTTAGTGTTGGTAGGAGGGATTCTGTAGGTCAATGGAATATTCAGTGGCGTATTGGAGATATTCCTTGAGTTGGAGATGGGGAATATAGGCTTCCAGATCACTGTGGAACTATATCATGTGCAAGGAGGTGGTGAGGCTAAAAGGGAGTCCCTGAGATAGCCTGGGAGACGAGTCTGTCCTAAGTGTGTAGGGGGATAGACTAATCATGTTATTGGATGAGTTAAGGGTATCACTGTTGTAGTCCTCTGTGGCATGTAGGAGTTTAGATAGTTTAATGTCCTTTTTCTTCTATAGAAAAGTAAAGTGTATGTTGTAAATGGCTTGTCTTGTTTTTGTAAAGTTCAGCTGTGCAGAAGGTTGTTTTTTCATGAGTCTCCAGTTTTGAGAGCACATTCTTGATCATCTCCTGCTTGCTGTACAGGATGTTGATTAGGTAGTTCCTCAATTTCTTTGGAAATGTGTGGTACAGTCTCTCACCATAGTTCATATAATATGTTGATTGTAATAGATTTGGGTATGATGTTATGATGTCCATCTGTTTGTACTTGGGGAGGAAGATGATGTCTGTCTCTCTGTGCAAGCTTCTTCATGAAGTTGATGGATTTCCTCGTCATATGGCTAAATTCAGTGCCTTGCATGGTGACCAGTCTCAGAAAGGTAGCTGTGTTAGACTGTATCTGCAAAAAACAACAAGGAGTCATGTGGTAGCTTAAAGACTAACAAATTTATTTGGCCACAAGCTTTCATGGGGAAAAAACCACTTCATCCGATGCATGGAGTGCAAATCACATAGGTGGCCATATATATGCACTAGCACGCCGGTTCTCAAACTTTTTGGGCTCTGGAGCCCTTTACACGTGTAAAAATGTATGGGGAGCCCCAGCGGTCCACTGATTGTGTGTGTTGTAGATAGATGTTTCCAGTTTGTCAACCTCGCAGAGCCCCTGGAGATGTCTCGCGGAGCCCTGGGGCTATGCAGAGCACAGTTTGAGAAACACTGTACTAGCATATCAAAAGAAGGGAATAACATATCAAGAGTAGGAAAAGTCTGTTATATTCAAGAGATACTTCAAACTCAAAGTTGCTGCTGATTTAGAAGTGAGTTGATGAGTGACTCATGTTTTTTAAGAAGGTTCACATTTAGCCATAGGCTTCTATCAAATATCATGCATTTTTATTAGAGTAACATAGTATCTGGGTATTAAAGGACCTCAAATGATACTGAAACATAGTGATGCTGATGCTGCTAGGTAATTGAAATTGGGCAAGGGAAAAGGTGCTCTTTGAGTGAGGCCATCAGATTTAAGACTAAGGCCTGCTCTGTACTCACTGTGTAAACTGGTTTCTCTTTCTCTCTAGTTAAACAGAACACAAACTTCTAAAGAGGTAAGAGACCTTAACCCATGGAAAACTTTCAGATGTGCCAGAAACAACGAGGAGTCCTGTGGCATCTTAAATACTAACAAATGTATTTGGGCATAAGCTTGCTTGGCTAGAACCCACTTTGCCAGGTACATGAAGTGGAAATTTGAGATTCTCAGGTGTATATATGCACATGTGAACAGAGCTGGCAATGGATTTTTACATATCTACTCAAATGACACCATCATAGGACCTAACAACATCAGTTACATCATCAGGGGCTCATTTACCTGTATGTTGTATATTGGGTTGTAGATATAGATCTTGTTGTTGTAGTAACTGAGTAGGTCACTGGGGTCAGTCCAGCTAGTGTGGGCTTATTCTAGTTAGTTATGTGCTATGCAATAAAATGGACATTTGCAACTACTCCAGATCTATGCATTTCCACTGATTTCTTTGTATACTGTGAAACTCCCCACGACATAACACTGTACATCTACTAATGTGATTTTTACCATCATGTGCCAGCAGTGCCCCTCTGCCATGTATATTGGCCAAACCAGACTGTCTATGCGAAAGAATAAATGGACACAAATCACACATCAAGAATGGTATCATTAAAAAACGAGCAGGCCAGCACTTCAATCTCCCTGGATGCTCAGTAAGAGACTTGAAAGTTGCCATACTTCAGCAAAAAAACTTCAAAAACAGACTTCAGAGTGAAACCGCAGAGCTGGAATTCATACGCAAATGTGACACTCAGTCTGGGTCTGAATAGAGACAAGGAATAGCTAGCTCATTACAAAATAACTTTCCCTCTTTTGGTAATCTCACCTTCTCATCAACTATTGAGAATGGGCAACATCCATCTTGATTGAATTGACCTTGTCAGCACTGGTCCTCTTCATAGTAATATAACAATCCCATCTTTGTATGAATATATATCCCTGCCAAACTGAAGTTTTCCACTTCATGCATCTAATGAAGTGGGTTCCAGTCTAAGGAAGCATATGCCCAAATACATGTATTAATCTTTAAGATGCCACAAGACTTATTTTTGCTGAAATAGATTAACAGTGAAAGATACAGGAGGCTAAATTGAAATGTATCTTTCTCCTAACGTTCTGTGCATGCCCATTAAAGAAGTGGTTAATATAATTTACAGACTTAGGGGAAAAAATAGCTGATCCTGAATCGAAATTCTGAATTTCTGTCTGGCATCCTAACAGGTAGCAGAGGCAACGCCGTGATGTCACTGCCGGACCAATCAGGAGTGAGCGTTTAGAGTCAGGAAATCCCGGCTGGTAACTGCAGTCGCACTGACGTGCTGTGCGGCCCCCGCGCAACGCGGTCTCAGTGACAGCGGCCACACTGCCCTGCGGAGCGCCGTGGGCACTAGCTCGCGGCACCCTGCAGACAGCTAAATCTGAAGAGCTTGTTGAGCGGCGGGTGGGCACGGAAGAAATGCCTTGTTCAAACACACATGCCTGCGATGCTGACACAGCGACGCCGCCAGCCTAGTGCCACGCTGCTGTGTGGACCCGGCTCCACAGTCACGATGCCGGACTTTAAATTCGCTGCCAGAGGCGCCACGCCGCGCAGCGCGCTCTGTTTACATTTTGCAACCAGCTCCACGTTGCCGGCCCTCTCCCTGTGCCCATTGGCTCGCGGCCGCCCCTGGCTCCGCCCGTGGGTGGAGCCCCGCGCCGACCGGCGCCTGGCTGCGGCGTGAGCTGGGAGTCAGCCGGGGGAAGGCGGCGGGCGCTGACAGCTGTGCGGTTCCCTGCCGCACCCCCGAGCAGGAAACCCGGACACAGCGCGTGGGCTGGGCCAGGGGCGACAGGGCCGGGGGAGGCAGTTCGTAGAGTGTGTGTCTGGGGAGCTGCAGGCTGGGGGGCCGGTCTGGTCTGGCCTGGCGTGTGCTGGACGGCGGCATCGCTGAGTTGGATGTAGGTCGATGCCTGCTTGGGAGAGGTGAGGTGAAGCTGCATGTGCCTGCAGGGGCGAAGCTGCTGTACCCTGCCCTGCCCCTGGGAGCAGCGAGTTAGGGGGACCAGGGCTGTGTTGGGGCAGAGCAGATGGGGGCAGGGAAGGCTGCCTAGCGGGTGCAGTGTGCTGCGTTGTGAGGTTGCAAGGCTGCCAAGCGGATACCTTGGGTGAGTTGAGAGTAGAGCAGGTGGAGGGCAGGCGGGGGGCAGAGCACATGGGGGAAGGGGAAGGCTGCCTGTTGAGTGCTCAGGACTGTGTTGGGAGCAGAGCACTTGGGGGCAGGGATGGCTGCCTGTTGGGGGCACAGGACATGGGGGGCGGGGAAGGTGGCCCGGTGG